CTAACTGAAATGCCTATTGGGATCAACGAGCTTCTCATGACGCTCCAAGTCCCACTGAATCACTCACATCATGTCTTCTTCATCAGTGCATACGCCCCCAACACTGGATACAGAGGATGACATCAAAGAGGCCTTTTAGCCGACCTCGACAGAGTGCTAACCTCTATCCCCAGAGAAGATAAGGTTGTGCTCCTTGGTGACTTCAATGTCAGAGGTGGCAAAGATGCTGACATTTAGCAGGGAACCAAAGGGAGAAATGGACTAGGCAAGTGTAATCCCAATGGCCTACTCCTCCTCACCAAACATGCAGCGCACAACCTCACTATCCCAATACTGTACCATGTTTAGGCAGGCCGACAATATCAAGGGTTCGTGGCAACACCCACGATCCAAACACTGGCATCTCATTGACTACATCATTGTCAGAGAAAGAGATTGCCGAGATGTCCTCATCACCTGTGTCATGCATGGCTTCGACCACTGTGACACTGATCATCGGCTCTTCAGAGCTAAGCTCTTACTTCACGTCATCCCAAAACGGCAAAGGCAGCAAGCCTCTAAAAGAGGTTTTAACACTAAAGCGTTTGGAGGATCCAGCGGTAACACACGATTTCACAGAGCAGCTCGAGCATGGGCTGATGAACAATCCGACAACGAACAACCCAAATCCCAGTGCCAAATGGGATATTCTCAAAACTGTCATGACAAAAACCTACAGAGACCCACGGCCACATCGAAAGAATACACCAGGACTGGTTTGATGAAATGATCCCGGCAATCAATGTACTCATCAATGATAAACTTGCTGCTTTAACCGACTGGCAGAACAACCCTCAGTCTTGGACCAAAGCTGCAACCTTCAGCAAGAAGAAAGCTGTGGCCCAGCAGTAACTTCACAATCTAAAGAACAACTGGTTTAAAAATGAAGCCTGTGAAACACAAACGTTTGCTGATCAGCACAAGATGCGTGAATTTTTCAATTCCACCAAAACATTTTACAGTAGGCTCTCGCCAATAATGTTTAATAGGTGCCTGAAAAACGCAGTTATTAGCGAAAACGTTATTTGTGTGACATTAAAATACATGTAAAAAGGGTTTATTGGTGCCGCCGCCCCAAGAATTTCACCCAATTTTTCCCCTTAGAAGCCCTCCTAGCACTTTTTGTTCACTGAAATAAAAAGAATTGTTATTCAATCATCAAAATAGAGAGTTTGAGTATTATAACACTTAGCTTGGGGGAGTTTTTGAGGTGCTTGGTGTGATGATTGTTCCATATCTGAGGGACGCTAAGACTTGCACTGTCTTTCATTCTACAAGCTAACCATTTCAAAAGAAAATGCTCTGTTATCACTAACAACCTGTTTCAATCACTTTTATCATTCATAGCTCGCCTCGCATTTCCATCACTACCGAAATATTTCATAATATTTCGCACTGTAGACTCAGGACAGTTCAGTTTCCTAACAATATCAATGTTACGTGCACCACTTTCAATGAGCTCAACAATCTGTTCTTTATCCTTGGCCGAGTAGGCACACTTCTTGTGACTTTGTCTCTAAGCTTTGGGATCTTTTTTCTCATTCACTTTAAAAGTTCCCGGGCTTTCAAGCGGCAAATCACTCCCTCCACCACCTCCCCTAACCCCCACAGGCAAAAATGCGGAAGCAACCACTAGTTATAGAGGCTAAAATCTCACACATGGGTGCAGCGCTGTATTCCACGGAGCGTGTGTGAGAGTGAGGCGGAGCGGACAACTACTTCATCAACATGGCGGCAAACAAACGCTATCTTTGATGCGCAAGGACGCTTCCCACAAAATCTCCGTTATTCAAGAGAATCCAGACGTTATTATCGAAAATGGGTATCTGTTGTAACTTACCATTATTGTCGAAAACGTTATTGTGGAAGTCGTTATTGGCGAGAGCCTACTGTAAGGGCCAGTCACTCGTGGCGCAGCTCCCCCCCGCTCACCCAACGGTAACTCCATAATTAAAGACAATGAAGGACTCCTTCAGCACTGTTAAGAGCACTACCATTCACTGCTCAAACGAAACACTGATGTGGATGTCCTGACTACCCAGCAGATTCCTCAGCATCACGAGCGAACCGTCCTCAGCTATCCTCCATCCCTGGATGAGGTAGCTACTGCCATCAAACAGATGAAAAATAACAAAGCCTCACGGCCTGATGGAATCCCAGCCGAAGTGTATAAAGCAGGAGGACCTCTGCTTACCAGCCGTCTCCACTCTCTCCTGGAGAATATATGGGAAAAGGAGGAAATCCCCAAGTTCTTAAAGACGCCTCCTTTGTCATTATTTATAAGAGCAAGGGAGACCGGTCAGACCACAACTACCATGGGATCTTGCTGCTGGCCATAGCTGGCAAGATTTTTGCCAGAGTCCTTTTAAACAGACTTCTTCCTGAGGCAGAAAACTTACTCCCAGAATCTCAATGTGGCTTTAAACCATCACGTGGCACCACTGACATGATCTTTGTTGCCCGCCAGATACAGGAGGGATGGTGTGGGAAAAAAGCACTGAAAACTCAGGGGGGGCCGGCCCTTCAAGCCTCGATGCAAAAGGTTGGAGATTCAGCAAGAACAAGTTTGGCCCCATAGCAAGTGATCTCTGCAATGACATTGCCGCCCTTGCAAGAAAGCTAGCAGCCTCGTGCTGCTGCCACCACCTCCACACTCTGACGGCCTGCCGCCTCATTCCCCTGGATAAGAATCCAGGATGTAGGCCTATAGGGGTGGGGGAAGTGCTGAGGCGGATCATAAGAAAATGCATAATGAAGGTAGTAGAGGATGATGTCAGGGCAGCAGCAGGGAACCTGCAAGTATGTGCTGGCAACCAGGCTGGAGGGGAAGCTGTAATTCACTCCATGAGAGATACTTGAGCAGCGTGATTGTGAGGCAGTACTCCTGGTTGACGCAACCAACGCATTCAACCGCAAGGCTACACAGCACATCAAGATCAAGTGTCCAAGCTTTGCAAGGTATGTTGAAAACACCTATAGGAACCCATAAGACCTCTATATAACAAGCTTCAAGGCCCTAAGAGGAGATACCACCAAAGTCAAGTGAGGGAACAACGCAGGGGTACCCTGTTGCAATGGCAATGTACGCAATAGGCCTATTCGTGCTCCAACACACAATAAAATTTGAAACAACCGAGGTCAAGCAAGTGGCGTATGTTGACGACCTTACAGGAGCAGGAGAAGTGGAGGACATCAAAAAGTGGTGGGGCCTGATAACATCACGAGGTCCACAAATAGGGTACCACCCAAATGCCAGCAAGTCCTTCCTCATTGTGAAGCCAGAACACTATGAACGGGCAGTGCAGGTGTTTGGCGGAAGTGAGGTCAAAATAATAAAGGACGGCCAAAGACACCTAAGTGTGGTAATTGGCATGAAGGACTTCAATACCGAGAACGTAATGGGAAAGGTTAATGAGTGGGTGAAGGAAATCCAAGCTTTGTCTGATATTGCTAAAACAGAGCCACATGCAGCTTTTGCGGCATTAACCCATGGAGTCGAGCATCGCTGGAACTACCTGATGCGCACTATCCCTGATAACAGACCCCTCCTCCACCCTCTGGAAGAAGCCATCAGTGTCGCTTTTATCCCAACATTAGTGAAAAACCTTCACTTATCCCCAGCAGAAAGGTTACTCCTTGCACTACCACCGAGACTAAGTGGAATGGGATTGACTAATCCAGTGGAGCTTGCCGATACAGAACATCATAAACTTTGTCAAGCTCACGGCAGCCCTCACTGAGCACATAATAGCTCAGAATGTGTCAAGTCAGGTGGATACCAACGAATTATACAAGATTCGATGGTCCATCACAACACAGCGGCAGTACACTCAAAGTGATAAACTACAACAACTGTTGCTGCAAGTGGAGGTGGGCGCCTCGAACTGGTTAATGTTGCCGATAAGGGCAAAAGGCTTCATCCTTAATATACAAGAATTCGCAGATGCTATTGGCTCACCCTATGACATTGACCACGCCATGGTGTGCAAGAATGGAGACTCATTATACATTAGTGATGTCATAAAACTTCAAAACTGCAACCACATCTTCTAAGCAACCACAAATTATCACAACTTTTACTCAAATGTACTAAGTTAATTACTAAAATTATTAAGTCCGGTGCAAAATAATGGATGTTTATGCTCAAATTAATCGCTATCTTACAGGAAATCCAGCAATTCAAGTTATATTCTCCTAAGTAAGGTGCAAAATAATGGATGTTTATACTCAAATTAATCGCTATCTTACAGGAAATCCAGCAATTCAAGTTATATTCTCCTAAGTCAAGTCAGTGACATTTTATAAGTGAAAAACTAAGCCCCCCCCCCCCACCTTTCATAATCCTTGAGGAAGCGTTAATATCCCTTCCTGGAAGGCCACATGACGTTGATAATGATTAATAAGAACACAAGTGACAGTAAAATACTCATTTTACCTTCTAATTCAGCTGGTCATTTAAGGATATGATATTGGACGCGTGCTTGTTAAGCATTGTGAACCTCCAGGCAATCCCCAATGTATGTATGTCTAAATATACATGCATGTATGTATAGTATATACGAGTATCTATGTATGTATATATAAAATTACGTACGTACGAAAAATTAACCCTCCTGGTCAGCAAATGATATTTGCGTATTTGGCAATTTGCAGCCATTTTAACACCCAAACCACCGCGAACTTTAAGGGCATGTTGTATATAATAATGTTCTAATGTGTCCAAAACTTAAATTGTACATACAAAAGTTTTGGTCAGTGGTACAAACCACAGGATAAAGAATATGGCTAGGATGAAAGCATCACCAAAGGGTTACTGCAACTAAACAACAAAATTCCTTTCTTAAAGGAGACATCCCCATAAACTGTGCCTTGGAGAAACTGCCAATCAAAGAGATTCTATGTATTTTTAGAACAATCTATAGCTACCTATGTATATGATTTCTATGATTTAAGTTACTTACTTTAAATATTTTGCATATTCTGGTTCTTTCCAGTACTGCAGATACTTCAAGTAGTTAATAAAAGTCTGTTCCTTGAAGTACCCACGCTGAGCCAGGACTGTGGATAAAGAAACATGTGGTTTGAACATTGAATAAAATCCTAATACTGTAATTTAGAATGATGTTTAGTGAAAAATGGACAATGTGTAAATCACCCCTGCAAAAAATGGAGTAAAGAAGCATGCCAACGGTATGATATGGGTGACCTGGGACACTCTACCAGTTACACCATCTCTTGGCAGAGTTTGCCATGTTCAATGGCAAGTTATACAGTAATTTTTCACCATCCACAATAATTCTCCCATGGTTGACAAGTGCTGGTCTAATGGGAAAGACATACCTCAACACTCTTGGGGGTTTTCATGTGCAAATTTGCGTATGAACTAAAAAATTACACTAGATTAATTTTATGTTTGTGTATGAATGCTAGATACACAAGACGCACATTTGGCACCTATGTAGACTGCCTTTAAGGTTATGTGAGTTACTGCACCAGTCACCCTTTGTGGTTCAACAGCACAAGATGTAACTTTGGGCCAATTGCAAGATCAGCCGTGGTATATACCACGCTGTGCTATCCCGGCGGTCGTAATACAATGGAGTAAAAATTTTGTGATTTTTCAAGATGTGCCATGGTGGTACCCAACTGTCGTTTGTTGTTACTACCTCATCGTAGTGTAGTCAGGTGTACCAACTGGCGGAAGACTTGGGGGTTGGTATGCTTGCACCCTCAAAACAATGTCAGTGGCACGAAATGTTTACTCTTGCTACAAGACTTCCGAGCATGAAAAACTTGAATCCCAAGCTAAGGTGCACCTCGTTTTCCTATTTTCTTTGATTATAAGCCAATTCTGGGAATGAAATACGATCATTTACAGTGAATATAGGTAAATAAAGCCTGTGACAACCATTAAAAAGTAGGAATAGAGTGTAATATCTGTCCTTTCTTCTTTATCCTTATTAAATCTAACAATAAAGTAATAAGTTTGTCACAAACTTGGAGTTGGGCGAGTGTAAAAAGAGAACTATGGCCTGTTCTGTGGATGAAGTCAGTAGAATATAACAAAGGTATTATAATTTTACTATGACATTGATGAACTCACTGTTCAGATAAATTTGGATAAAATCTTGAAAAAATATCACCATAACTGTTAGTTTTCTATCAAACAGGAATTTATCTTTGTACCAAATTTTTTTACTTTCATATTATACAAGTATAAAGGCCAGTTATCTGCAAGATATGAAAACTTGAGATAATGTTTCCTACTCGTCTCCACCTGGTTATAGTAATGCAATAAATACCCTTTCAAAAAAAGCAAGACATGAACACTTTCCTAATGTTAGGAGTAAAAATTTATACAATATTTTAATGACATGGACTAAACCACCAGTTGGAGAAAAGTATCTGCTGTTTAAATGGTCTTTTATTTGGAAAAATATTCCATGTAAATGCTGTATATGGATCCTCACCAGAGTCTTCATATAGTTAGTGTGCAGACATTTGTTTACAAGGCATGTATTCACAACTATAATGGAAAGGAAGACATGTTAGGTTAGGTTAGATTAGGTTCATCTTGTGAGCAAATCTCATGGAACCCATATACAGTAGGTATATTCATGAAATTCTACCAACTAATCAGACTCTAATAATGTTAAAGATAGAACAAGGCGATAGTTATATGGTTTAAAAATATCCTCAATACAGTCTGCAATGTTAATTGCAAATTATTCCTGCATTTTTTAATGTTTAACATAAACTGTAATAATAATAAGGATAAGAATACAATGATAATGTTTATGTCTGAATATAGCCTTTATTAAAAGCAGGATATGTTATAATATATGGATAATTAAGAGTACAGTATTTTAAAAGAAAAATCATCCAGAAATTTCACAAATACAGTGGTCCCTCGGTTAACGAACTCAATTCCATACAGAGAGTCGTTCATTAACCGAAACCAGTTTCAATGGGATATTGGGTAATTGATTCCAGCTCACAGAAAAGTATATACAAAGTAAAGCCAAAAATGCATAAAGTCAGAAACACTCCTAAAATTCCCTTAAATCACTATATATATCGTATATATACACTAGAACTCTTAAATAACTACTGTAATGTGATACAGGTGATCAATTTTATCTCTTGCGCAAAATATATGATGTATATATTCAAATTATTCGCTGTCTTGCAACGATTCCAGCAATGCAAATTATATTCTCCTAACTTTAGTCTGACATATTATATAAGATAAACACTTTAAAACCTCATGAAAACACCAAACTTTTGTCTGGGAAGGCAGGGGTAGGGAGGGAGGGAGAGAGGGAGGGAGGGAGAGAGGAGGGAGGGAGGGAGGAGAGAGGAGAGAAGAGTGGAGGAGGGAGAGAGGGAGGGAGGAGGAGGGAGGGAGGAGGAGGGAGGAGAGAGGAGAGAGGGAGGGAGGGGAGGGGATGGAGGGAGGGAGGGAGGGAGAGAGGGAGAGAGGAGGGAGGAGGAGGAGGAGGAGGGAGAGGAGAGTGGGAGGGAGAGAGGGAGGGAGGGAGGGAAAGAGGAGGAGGGAGGGAGGAGAGAGGGAGAGAGAGGAGGGAGGGAGAGAGGGAGAGAGGGAGAGAGGGAGGGAGGGGAGGGAGGAGGGAGGAGAGGGAGGAAGGGGAGGGAGAGAGGGAGGAGAAGGAGGGAGGAGGGAGTAAGGGAGGGAGAGGGAGGGAGGGAGGGAGGGAGGAGGGAGGGAGAGAGGAGGGAGGGAGGGAGGAGGAGGAGGGAGGAGGGAGGGAGAGAGGGAGGAGGGAGGGAGGGAGTGGGAGGGAGGGAGGGAGAGGAGAGAGGGGAGGGAGAGAGGAGGGAGGGGAGGGAGGGAGGGAGGAGAGAGGAGGGAGAGGGAGGGAGGGAGGGAGGGGAGAGGAGTGGAGGGAGGAGGGAGGAGGAGAGAGGAGGGAGGGAGGTGAGTGGGAGGAGGGAGGGAGGGAGGGAGGGAGGGAGGAGGGAGGAGGAGGGAGGGAGAGAGGGAGGAGGAGAGAGGAGGAGAGAGGGAGGGAGGAGGAGAGGGAGGGAGTGGAGTGGGAGGAGGGAGGGAGGAGGGAGGGAGGAGAGGAGGGAGAGAGGGAAGGGGAGGAGGAGGGAGAGAGGGAGGGAGGGAGAGAGTGGAGGAGGAGAGAGGGGAGGGAGGGAGAGAGGGAGGAGGGAGGGAGGGAGGGAGGAGGAGAGAGGGAGGGAGGAGAGAGGAGAGAGGAGGGAGGGAGGAGGAGAGAGGAGGAGGAGGGAGGGAGGGAGGGAGGGGAGCGGGAGGTGAGGTGTATTTTGATTGACAGATAGTGCATCTGGTGAAGTATAATTTGTTTATTTACTCGAGTTTTTATTTTTAGTTCATAAAATTCATAGAAATGACCAGGGCAGAATATAATTTACATTGCTGGAATTCTTATAAGATAGTGATTAATTTGAATATAAACAAGCTATAATTTGAATTAGACATACAAATTTTAGATCTAATTTAAGAATTTTATTAGAGAGCAAAAATTTTATCTTTTGTGCAAAATATATGACGTTTATATTCAAATTATTCGCTGTCTTGCAAGGATTAGAGCAATACAAATTATATTCTCCTAACTTTAGTCTGAGATATTATAATATGATTAAAACTGTAAGCCTATTGAGAATCTTCAAACATTTCTTGGGAAGGTGGGGGGTAGGGAGGGAGTGGTGGGGGGTAGGGAGGGAGTGGTGGGTGACAGAGACATGTTTGACAGTTGGCACCTGTGGTGTGAAGTATTTACAGTGGTCCCTCAGTTAACGAGCACAATTCGTTCCAGAAGGTTGCTCGTTAACCGAAAAATTCGTTAACCGAAACCATTCTTTCAATGGGTTTTTGGGTAATTGGTTCCAGCTCACCGAAAATTACATACAAACTAAAAATAAATGCAGTAAAGTACACTTACTTTGAGGTGTGTATGTAGAAGGCTCCTGGTTGATGATGATGGGAATTAGAATGGGGGTGGAGGAGAAGGGAGAAGAGAAGGCATTGGGGTGGAAGAGAAGTCACCCCATGCTGCCTTCTTCTGAACTGGTAAACAAACTGATGCCAAGCTTGGTGTGTTGAGTGGCTGTTTGGCACGCAAAAAACTAGCTTCCTGTACTTCAATTATGTTCAATAATTGTTAAAATGACTAAAAAATTTAATATAAAACTTTTAAAATTATTGAATAGTACAACCTTCTTGATATTTACTAAAATGGTAAGGAATTTAAGCCCTAAAACCGATTACTGTATTGGCGGACTAATACTACAGCTGGTGGGCAGCCAAATGCAGGCAAAAACATGTTGGGAAAAATTTGCAAGGAATTCGTTAACCGAGGGTTTGCTCGTAAACCAAAGTGAAGAATCTTATGGAAGGTAATTCGTTAACCGAAATTTCGTTAACCGAGGGATCACTTGTAATTGTTAATTTATGTCCTTTAGATTGAGTTTTTGTTTTTTGCTTATAAAATTTAATAGAAGTGACCGGGGTGAATTTAATTTGCATTGCTGGAATTCTTATAAGATAGTGATTAATTTGGATGTAAACATGCCATAGTTTGCACTAGAGAAAAATTTTAGTTATCATTTTGCACATTGTTCTGATTACATGTACAGTTCAGCTTTGCCCTTAGGACAGAGTGTGTATGTAAATGAGTTTCAATAAATGAATAAAGTTACATACATCGAGCCAAAAATAAATGAAAAAATTTGTGTAGACAGAGCTTGGATGGCTAAATTTTAGAATGACCAATAATTTTAATACTGTATAAAAAATGCACAAATATTAAAGAGCACAATTTTCTTGATATTTACTCCAATGGAAACGAATGTAAACATAGAAGAGATTACTGAATTGGCTGAATACCTCCTCAGCTTATCAGCTGATGTTCAAAACAAAACGTGACTTTTGTAAGGATTTCGTTAATCAAATTTTTTCGTTAACCGAATTGAAGATTCATATGGAAGGTAATTTGTTAACCAAAATTTTGTTAACCGAGGGACCACTGTACTGTGATAAGCCTGATAAATAATAAATTTGATACATA